TTGGAACTAAAAATGGTGGTACAAAGCAGAACGTGTCTTGACCGTGTGTCGTAGTGTCCCCGCGCTTCCCCAATTTTCAAAAGACGCTCATCGTGCACTTCTTTTGGAATGCATTCCACCATCGCCGATGCATCTTCAATTGATCGAAGCGGTTACCGTGGACACCTCTATGCTCTTCATGCTAGCTCTACCTTGCCTTGTCATCGTTAGTTAACCTTTAACGGCAATGCAGGTTTGCACCTAGTTTGCTCTTGGGACCACGCCTCTTTTTGGCGCGCCCAACTCTCGTTCGCAATTGGACAAATTGTCCCTCAAAGCACTTCTGCTATAGAATTTTTGACTTCAACAGTGTACCAGGTATAACTGCAGTTCTAGGCTTCCACACTTCATATTGTTCTCAAGAGAATCTCAAATTTGGGAACACGGGGTTTGATGGGAAGGAGGGCGGAATCTTTGAGGTTTAAGTGTCCAAGAGAATTTTCGACACACTCCGAACCTTTTCCCGTATCTGAGGGCTATGAGAAGACGAAAAAGTCCTGATTAGTAATTAACGTTCCTGCCTAATATACAAACTCCGATTAGTATGCTGGCGAGCTAAAAGGCACATTCTAAAATTTTATATAAATCAGCCATTAATGAGCATTTCCGTGAGCCGTGCTAGTCATAGATAGCATGAAACATGCTTATAATTATTGGGGTGTTGAAAATGCTTTAAAGGACGAATCACGGAATTCACGCTGGAAAGGCAACCCATTTCAAATTAAGTTAGCGATGGTGAGTGGTACACTAAAGAAGGAAAAACCATGAGAAACGGCCCAGAACCTGAGAAATGGGACCACTTCCTTGCCCGTTGATTTGAGCATTGATGCGACTATCATCGCTGTGCCCTCTTCAACGCTACGCTCTCTCACCTATCTAATCACTCACCACGTATAGACCTGCGGCGAGTGATCAGATGATCGGTGGGCGTGCACTGACCAGCCGCGGCGGGATTAAACCTTAATAGGTCAACGAGGTCAACTCCTCCTGTGCAAATTGTGCTTCAGTTCGCACACTTAGGAGCTCCGCGGGTCCCTCAACCAGGTGAATTCTTCCTAATTCGATTTTCCCTCTGATCGTGAATTCGTCCTTTAAGTTAAAGAAGATTTCGAAGAAGGCGAATCCTCATTGGTGCACGTTGTGTCGAAGGTTAACCTACTTAACAATAATTTCACCTTCAGGTCGCACGCTATATCACAAAGATGAAAAATCAGGGTTTTTATTACTGCAACAGACAGGTCTGGTCTAATAATCCTACCCCAGAGGTATGAAATGCTTCCGGCTTTTGGCGTCAATCCGCTTGATACTCGACACATTTGTGGATAGTAAAGTCCATTACACCATTTTGCGCTACTCCTCTTCCAACGCAGCCCTTTCATACTATAGGGGAAAATTAATCCTTAACGTCAATTTAATAACTGAGACCACAATGTACATACCCATGCGCACCAGTCCTTCATATTTGCCTCACGTATTCGACTTTCGGGATTTCGGGATTGTAGACGCACTCAGCTGCAAAAATAGCTCTTACAATGGTTTGTTGTAGGTGAACTTGATATTCTGTACTGCCAGTGAAGGCTGGCATCATTTTTGTAGAGCTGAAAAAGATGGCTACCTGCGGTTCGGGCCACAGCACAGCTCACAGTTGCAAGAGGTTCTTGCAGACAATGGCTCGTCCAACAAATGAGAGGTTGTAAGACAACCTGCTTTGAGATGGTGTTTTTGGGACTACGCGTACTAACGAACACTATAATTCGTTCTCCTCTTCTTTCTAAGTGCCAACAATTTGTAGAGCAAGGCGCAGCGCAGAGATTTCATAGTTGAAGCTACCAAATAAACTCCTATATCCTCCAATTCCCTTTTTCCATCCTCTCTTTCCAACATCTTCTTACCCTTTACTTTTATCACCATAGGTACAAGTCCGGTTATAGCTTTTTTTATGCCTAGGAATCCAAGCCTCGCCTGAAGGGCTAAGGATAGGAACGAACGAATCTCCAAGCCTAGCTTGTGACTCTATTCTCTTCTAGACTATGTATCCCGGAAATTCCATCGACGTATGGGGAGAGGCGGGGGCGGCGGGAGGGGCGAGATGGAAGAAGGTGAGCACAATATTATCACTTAGTAGAAAATCTTCAATAATCGAGATCATGTCATCCTTTTAAACTATCCACACACTCATCTATTTCGACTCCCTTCCCAACTGTTCATGGTCCTCCCCAGATCGAGGGTTTCTTAACGGGTTCGCTCAATGGACCTCACCTCCAAAATAGAACCTAGGGTGAGTGTTTATCTTATGCTTACCTCCCCATCAACTTCGTCCTCGAAATTCGAACCACTCTTCGGTATCCAAAACAGGACATGGGTCGAGGGGTGCTATATGTGTCTAGGAAAATCACATTTTTGCTCAACCTTGATCATAAAATTTATCTAAATACCTACCTAAAATTCAGAAAGTCGATTGCGAACTTCTCTATGCCGGCCTTCTGCGCAAATGGCTACGGGAAATTCTACTTGGCGTACACGCCGATGGAACTCGTTCTAAGAAAGCTCTAGGGTTTTGTTTCCCCTTCGAATACTATAAAATTCAAGCTTTCACTACTTACTTAAGTTTCATGTTTTATTAATACAAGTCTTCTGAGTTCTGCCTATTATTGATTATCAAGAAATTGAGTATTCTACCCATTTCAGGCTTTCATCTTCTCCAGATAAGTGAGCGTATATCAAAGATTTTGCAGTGTTGCTCATTCCTACTGGGACATAAGACCATCATGAAATTTGGACGACAACGACTAGCAAAGCATCGCTTCGAGCTGCTATATTTGACAGCTGCCGCCCACTTTCAGTATACTTTCTATAAACACAAGATCGCCCTCCCTGCTTGAAGAAGCTACAACGCTTACCAATAGTTCTTGATGGGTGACTGACCTTCGATGTAATAATGTACTGGCATCGTGGACCATAGCACAATACCAAAAAGGCTAAAGCCGTTGACGTAAATCGAACTCTTTCTGGAATACGCCAAGTATTCTCTACCCATTCAGAACCTTGGTGATATTTTGAATGCGGATTGGTCTTTTCAGAGATCTGCGGAGGCCAGCCGATGTACATGTCAGTGTTCAGCCAGTCACAGCCAAGATCTGAGCCCCGCATCGTGCATGTGGTAATCAGCGCCGCTTGCTAATCAACTTCTGTCCATAGCCGTGCTATGGCATAAGTCATTTGGCGTTTTAAAGTCATACACAGTCCATGCCAGCTGGGAGCGGCCCCCTTAACATAAGAAAGCTGTCTGTCAGTGCTCTGAGGACAATTAAGGCGGCACTGTGATAGAGACAGCAATACCGAGATAAAGAGCTAGCTCGAGCTCGGATGAATTCATCTCTGAACCACGATGGATGACCGCGACACCGAGAGAAGGTTGTGTTTCTGTTTATTTATCATAGGGATGTTATACCAAGTTTATTTGCCGAGGCGGAAAGCGGATTTAATTGATAATCGACGATGGACCAAGCGCCTTTTTTGCGTCACCTGTTCTTTCTGTAACCATTAGGCTGTGGCTGCCAAGGCTTCTTTCTTGAACAACACAGCAATTTTGGCCTAGAAGATCAATTTCATAAAGAGCCGATAGTGAACCGATAGTACATGCTGCACTCTTATATCCTTACGCTTTTTCGTAAGGAAACCATATCCATACACAGGGGCCAAATAATACTACGGTACCAGAAGTCATCTGTTACCAGAGTCATGCTGTCCACTTGAAATTCCCTGACGAGGGAAAAGGAGGAAGATAGTTTCCAGAGACATCAAAGATTGAGCAAGCTGGAAATTCTCCTTCGGAACCTGAACCTCTGACAAACATTCCTATCGTTTCCACAGCTTTAATCGAACCCCACGTGAATCGCGTTAGGCCGCACATCTCATCAGCGGTTGTTGACCGAGGAGCTTCGAAGAGTGCCAAGCTGAACCCGAGGTAAAGCCCCCTTGGCGTTTCGGCTGGGACCGTATGCTGAATGTTGGGGAGGGGATGGGGTCCCCAACGGTCGACGGTTTACTTCAACTCGGTTGGTACGATAGGAGAGTACTGACGCAAGTGGTGCAGCTGGTCCAGCAGCTCCGCCAGAAGGGCTGGTTTGCTCACCCCAGGACTAAGCCTTGGAGAGGGGACGGACCCGTCCTCTCTTTAAGGCTTAGTTCTGAGGTAAGCACCAAATTGTGGCGGTTCTAAGGACCGAGTTGAAGTGGTCCGTCCACCGTCGGGACTCCATCCCCTCCCCAACATTCAGCATACGGTCCCAGCCGAAGCGCCAAAAGGGCTGGTTGCTTACGTCGTGAACCCGGTTCAACTGCCACAAAATTCACTTTCGATTCATGGAGTATGCGCGCAGAGGTCATCTCATCTACAAGGATCGACGCGAGTTTCGACCCAATTCCGCATACTATTTCCCATACGGGGGGCGATCGAGAGACCCTAATATGGTACTGCCATTGAAACCAGCAGCCCCCCTGCCTCTCTTAAGTTCTGCGAAAAGACTTCAAATCCACAATTCTTTACTATTATACACAGATATGCGTTTCAATCAATGTTATAAAACGAGTGACAATCATGATAGTACAAATCGATATGTGAAAAAATATAGCACATAAATGACAAAAATTATGAAAAATAGCTGAATAAATGAAAGTCTACCAGTATAAAAACGTTAAAAAAAGCAAGAAGAATTCACATTAGTCAAAAATACTATATGATATTTAACTAACTAGTAAACTACACAATCTTCGAATAAAATGAACAATTGGCTGATAGTGAGTAAATTCAAATCGCTTTCACACATGAATCCGTCCTATGCGTGAAAACTATGCATATCGATTTTAGGTGCGTAAAATCAATTCTTATTCTAAACAACATGAAAAAATGAGGCGGATTGGAATGTGAAAGCAACCTAAGGTAAGACCAGAGTGTATAATTATAGAGCAGTGAGCTGAGTGTGTTCGGCAGCCAAGGTGTCATCATTGGCAATCGGTGCCAACGGTTCAGGGACATAACCTGGGCTGTTGGATGAAGTGACTGGGCTAAAACCGAAAGGAATGTGAGTGTAAATTGACGGGAAACCCTGTTCGTAGATGTTTGTGGGCATTTTGTAGATGTCTTTCACGGTGTTCTCCCCACAAGCGATCTCGGATTTGATCACAGGATTGGGAAGAAAAGCGGGCGGTTCCGTGTGGGGCAGTCCCAAATTCACGAAGTACTGTGGATATTCCGGTAAAGGCCGTCCTTGGAGAAGTCCCGTGAGCACTTGATGATTTTGCAGCATCGGCGAGGTCTCCTGCTTCACTTGAGATGGTGGCGTGGGAGTCGCGACGGTCGCTGCAGGCTCGACAGATGGCGACGGTGACATCAACGACGATGACAGCTGAATTCACAGAGATTAATTGGTTCGGTTTCTCAAATAGCGCTACGAGGAAAGCAATCAAGCAAGCGCTATGACTCACGCTATTTTCTAGAACGGAATCGTCCGCTACAGACACATTCGCAGAATCGGACGGACTTCTTTGTGGACTGAAACATCAGCTTTTCAAGGAACTAGCCAAATATAGCTCTTGAATGCAATTTGCAATAGCCTACCTGTCGGTTTTCTTCTCCCTCTTGTCCTTCGCTCGTCGATTCTGGAACCACGTCTTCACCTGAGCCTCCGAGAGTCCTAAGCGAATCAGCCAACTGTGTTCTCTTGTCACGGACCATGTACCGCTCCGTGAGGTACTCCTGAAATAATATCCGTTCTTACAGATCAGAAACCATGAATTAAAAACCTAAAACGCTTCAACATTTCACTACCAGCTACTGGGAGGTCTTCGGAGTTGCGCCATGCACCCTACCTCTATTCGAAAACGAGAACATGAAAACATTCTTTCGTTTTTCCATTGCCCTCAGCCCAAAAGCGAGCTGACTACCGCGGTAAGCGATGTTCATCTTTAGCTTTACGTGCTCACAAAGACAAACTCAAATTACAGTCTAAAGCTGACCAGCGAAATGGAAGTTTTGGGTCTGACCATAAGTTACCAGGGAGTTAGATCTAATGAACGGTAGAACGCCGAAGACAACACGTCTTTGACAAAGATAGCCTCGTATACATGCCATAGAGAGTTTTTCAAAAGTATTACAAGAACAATCCGAAATGAAGTGCAGAGCTTATTAACTTATTGTTAGCACATGGCCACGATTCATTTCCTCGTGTTCTATTTAGCTGCGCGTTCGCCTTCCCAGGGTTCGCTAATTGGCGACATGCTGGGAATAGAAGATGAAAGCATCAAAATTCACATCAAGTACAACTGCCTCAACTACAAATATGAGGCAGCGTCATCAGCCTGAGTATAGTCCATACAAGACGTCCAGACAGAATGGTCATAACTCAAAGAAACGCCTCAGGGGTAATCTCCAGATAAAGAAGTTCAGGATATCCATTAAATTCAGGAGGAATATTTAGTATTGACATGGCGCGTAAGGTGGTAGAAACTTCACTCTCTTCAGTCACGTCACGAAGCGAAAATGAAAAATGGACAAACGAAGCCTCTTTATGGAAATCATGAGTCACCGTATTTCGGTCGCCGTACACATGACTCAAAGCTTTGTACGGGAGGGGAATAGGCCGCTCGAGCCTGAACATTAAGCTAGCCTGAAAGTCAGGACATTGATAGTAGACCACACCAACATTCAAAGTGTACTGGACTGGTATCGGGTAGCAAGAAAGGACAGACGATCCAAAGAGGCTTGTCAATCGCCAGAAGTCCAGCTTTCCACTTCATGAGCCTGACATGGAATGGGAGATGGCGCTAGGGCTTAGAAGTTACGCCCTTCGAATATACATCTGACCCGGTCACGATCAAGTTCTGTTCAGGCCAACAAGGACCTTAATTCTATCCGTATTCACTTGATTAGCGCTACAGATGGCTGGTAAGAGGAAGCTCAAATTTTCGATCGCCCAACACTTGTTCTATGAACGTAACATGCATTCATATTGCTCTACGATAATAAGTGGAAGCCTTATGCATGGCGCGAACCGGGAGGATTAATCAACGTTGAGTACTTTATCTGTCATACTTTATATAGACATAGCTATAGTCCTTATAATTAAGGACCCCAATAAATTGCCCTAGAATGGCTGCGGGTGCCAGCTGCGCCTGCTGCCCGCTCGCCGTTAACCAAAGATCTCCAATCATAGCCTCGTTCGGCATTCATGGTAATATTTCGTTTCGATTTATGGCTCGTAATGGCTCGATTTTAATTGAGCCTTGATGTTAGCGGGGAAAGCGAGGTTGCACGGGGTCCGCCCCGAGGCACTAATCTGGCCATCTATTGCACACATTCAGGGAATAAACATTTCCGCGAGCGCGATAGTGATTATTGCGCGAGCGTCATTGCGAAAAGCAATTAGCGTGTGTGTGTGCCATCCGCGATGAACGAGTGTATGCTCGTCGTCCGACAGCCAGGATGACAACCCCGTTCCCATTTCACGTCCCCCGTCTGCCCCTGTACCCCGTTATCTACAAAGTGCTTGAGTTCCGGAGCATTTTCTGAGGGCGAAATGCGCTGACGAAACACCAACGGCCAGCAATCAACTTGGCTGGCTGAGCTTTCACTTAGCAGAGGCTGCTGCTGGCTGCTGCTGCTGCTGCCGTTTTCAGCCTCGCCTAATGAGGTCATACCACATCATTCATGCATTACACGCTAGAACGGTGTGTTTCACACGCATGGCAGCGCGGATTGGCAGATGGGAGAAGGACGAGGGCTACTTAAGACACTGCAGCAGCCCTGAGAGCAGTCGTCGCAACCCCATACGCGGCCACTAATCCATTCCCCTCTCGTGGACAGATGTCCGTCGCATGCATTCATTTCTGTCAATCAATAGCACCCCACATATTTCCATCGAGTAAAGCGAAAATGAAGTGTATGCAAAGGAACAAGGATCAATATAGGCAGCTAGCAGAAAAAGAACACTCCAGAATGAGCCGCTAATGGGAAGAAAAACGCCTCGGGAAACATTAAATGGGCATTGCTCACTAATGAAACCTAGGCACGGCCTCAAAGCTCAGGCGAGAAGCTGGAGGGATGAAGACAAGAAGCAGTTTCATAGGATAGAAATAGGCGCTATCGCAATATACGGGGGCATCCTCTAGAACTAATCCAGTAGGGAGCAGGAATTAAGAGAAAATAAGAAAGGGCTCACGCACGTGGAGCCTTTCAACCTCTGTCCAAGGATTAATGTTTGAAGAAAAGGACATGCTTACCGAGTTTTAAATGAATCTTCCCAAAAATGCCCATAATTTGCGATAGCGCCAGAAGTGAAGAATAAAAAAGAAAGAAATTAAGGTCTAAAACTAGGGTAAGCACCTACCCTTTCCAAAATAGCAGCCTGTTGTTGAGTGAATGTGGTCCTTTTCCGTCGACCTTTGCTTCCGCCATTATTCTCACCTGGACTCGAAGCGGCTGGTTCGGGATCGGAGTATAATTTCCTGAACACTTAGCGCATAAAATTCTGTCCAGGTCAAAAACGGGGTCACGAAACCCTTCAGAAGGACATGATAGTAAAGAAAGCTAAGCAGATTTACCTAAGTGGCTTGGTCTCCGGCATGGCTACCAACAGCTGATCAGGGCGATAGTAGGGCTTAAAAGCTGAGCCGACACTTGTCATAGAGAGCATTTCTTCCCTGAAAATCCTATGTTTATAAAAAATTAGCTATAAATAAAGGGTTGTAAAGAAATTAGACGGAAATAAGAGCAAAGTGTGGTGTTTTCTCATCACGACGATGATCACAAGAACTAACATTGGATTGCAGCCTAATAGGGTAATAGATGGAAGAACCATAGCACATTAATGTGGACGGAAAGGCCGCTCTCGTGCTCTCCTCAGCTCACCCCAGCCCTCTCACCCACCCCCGTGTACCGCGGCGATTGGACCACGCCCCCAACCCTCTACGCGCATGTGCTCTTGCCGAGAGCAGACCCCCGATGGACCGATAATGACTCGTAGTACTTCGTCAAGGCTGTAATTATATCTGAGACTCCATTAAACATCACCGTATCGTGACACCTGAGGCTAAACGCCCAACACTAGAGGAACCTGATAGGTCACAACGCCCAAATGGGATGATGACAGCAGGTGAGAATGTCGAGTAGGTCTAGGGCTAGCCATCGATTATCAGGCCAAGGCTATTTGATAACGATGAATCGTGGTCAAATATCACAAGTCCAACCAGGGCGCCCTCAATAGCCCTGATTCCGTGCAGAACTGAACAAGGAACTCAAAAACGTGCAAAAAGTCGTGCACTTTCTAGAAATAGAAATGGAAATTATAATCCCTGAGGCTATGCGTTCAGAAACCCTTCAACGCTCTTTAAATCCTTTCTAATCACCTAGGAGAAACATGAGATCCTATCTCCTAAATCCAAAACGAAGGAATGCCTAATGACCGACAAAACCCCTCTTATCTTCATAATTACTCCCCAAGAAATTAGTTATAAGTGCTAAATAGTTTTGTGAACCCATTCTACCTTATTTAAGTGCCTTAATTACATTCATCACCCCTAATTGGAGCGTATAAGATACGGCAATACGTGAAACAATTGAGCGGATAATTGACAATTACTGCCTTCCCATCATTAAAACCAATTGATCTACTTTGTCTTCGGCTGAACGATTCATTATAGCTCAAAAAAATGGGGAATAGGAAAAGATCCAGTTTAGATAAGCAGCTATCGGAATGCGCCATGCTTTCGAATACCGTAGAAATTTATGTGGGCATCACTAGGCTCTTTCAGCTTACAAATGAGCCCCGATCTTGTTGATTTTCCAGGTTGAGTTCTACACCCGAAAAAACCTT